TCATCTTTTTGCATGAAGACATCACACTGCACTTTTTGTTTCTCCGGACACCTTGTATAACGAAAGATAGTCTTTATCGAGGATAACCAAGCCTCTGCCAACGTGGAATCTACAAATAGTCCGTCAAAAGAGCGAGGGTCGTACTTCTTGAATTCTTGTAGATATTTAGCTTCTAATGGCTTGCTCCCTCGATCTTCAGTCAATTGAGCCGTTTGATTAGAGACAGCAGTTTGAACAAGTATCTATAAGACCTCCATCATTAAGGACGCTATAGTGGACTCTGATTGTCTAGAAGTTTGACCCATTGGTGGATTCTTCGTCTAATCGAAGGTTTGAACCACTGGAGGATTCTCTGTTTGTCCAAGAGTTTTACCCACTAGTGGGATCGTTGTCTGACTTTAGGTTTATTAATCATTGTTGGCCCTATTGTCTCAGCATTTGCACCTCTACCTAATCTTCCCCATGTCACATAAACCCTTCTACGTGGAGCCATAATCTAATAACCATGACACAGTCCAGCTTAGTCTATTGTCACAACCATGAAATGTAAAACACATTGTTCATCACAATACAACATAATCATGCGTGTTATTTATGCATACTACACATTTTTTCTAATAATAAAAAAAAATATTGTTAAAACAAAAGGCATATCTGACGGTGACAAGGTGTTTGCGTGCCTGGCATTGTTGACACACTAATGCTTACGATGTAAGCAAGTCTACAGGAACATTAACTTGGACTTTGATACCAACTGTAACGACCCGACTTTTTGGACTTATACTAACTAGGGACGTTACTACATGCATGTTTTTAACGTTTAAATTAAAAAAAATGGTAACAACTATGAACGTCATAGCTAAAATTTCATAACTTACGAAATAGCTAGAAACCTTTATATGAGATACGATAAAAAACAAACAAAACAAAATGAAACAATTTCTTAAAAAACAATAATTAAATAATGAATAAAATGATAAAATTATCTCTAACTTTTTAAAATAAAACACTTCCACATAATTCAATATGGGATGTGGAAATAAAATTATGTTGATGCGGTTCTCATGGCACACGTAACAAACAGCCCGTCACTCACCTCATATGTTATTATCATTACATAAAAAAAATTTTAAAAAGAGTGAGTATTTAAAATACACAATAAGTAACCCGGCTAGTAGGGTCAGACACACTACACACATAAATTGTGTCATTTAATAACATAGCTATGTGAGAATTGCATTAATAAATTCCAACAAACTAACATCCAAGGTTATGTCATGTAACTGGCATTGTATATAACTGATATACAGTATATATTTAATATACAGGGTATATATTTGGTATGGAGTGTATATATGTAATATAGAATATATTTTAGATATACAAGTAGATAATATTCCAGTAATAACCTAAAATGGTATATAGTATATGGATAAGGTTAGATACCTTATCTTGGTAACACTTTGGATACGACCCACTTTTAACGATTGAATCCCAACTCGTTCATGTGGAGACATGCAAGTGGGAGGACATTGTTCGACACCTGGTACACCTCAACTCTCATCACCTGGTACACCTCAACAGAACAGTGTATCAGAAAGAAGAAATAGAATCCTATTAGACATTGTTCGATTTATGATGAGTTATGCTCAGTTGTCTGCCTCATTTTGAGGTTATGCAATAGATAATGCAGTACACATTTTGAACACAGTTACCTCAAAAAGTGTTTCTAAAACATCTTTTGAACTTTAGAGATAACATGAAACTAGTTTACGTAAGTTCGGAATGTGGGGATGTCCAGCACATGTGTTAGTGACAAACCCCAAGAAACTGGAATCTCATTCAAAAGTTACTCAATTCGTAGGCTACCCCAAGGAATCGAGAAGTGGACTCTTCGTTGATCCGTAAGAAAACAGAGTGTTTATATCGACAAATGCTACATTATTGGAAGAATACCACTTGAGGGATCATAAACCACGAACCAAAATTGTGTTGAATGAGATTTACGATTAAGCTACAAATACATCAACAAGTGTTGTTAATGATGCTGACACTTAAACAATAGTTGTTTTGATGGTGCTAGTACATCACGTTAGTCACATCCATCTCAAGAGTTGAGAGTGTCTCGACGTAGTGGGAGGATTGTGTCACAACCTAACCGATACGTTGGTCGAACAGAAACTCATGCATCATACATGATGATGGCGTTGAGGATATATTGACTGTTGGGTTTTATACCATAAATGTATGATTTGTAAATACAAAATAAATATTTGTTCAATAAAGTTGTTATTGATGTTTGTTTTAGAATTTCATTAACTCAAAATCCAATAAACTAACATCCAAGGTGATGTCATGTAACTGGATCAGTATATAACAGATATAGAGTATATATTTAATATACTGCGTATATAATTAAAAGATGCCAATCCCGAAGCGGAAGCAGTAGAACGCGTTTTTGAATTTATTTTGAAATTTCAAACACATAAAAATATACCCTTGAAGATTCTTCTTCGTGTAAACCCAACGAGACAACACCACTCGATCTTCCTCGCTAAGTCTCTCGATCGAGAATCCAAATTGTGGAATCCAATTTCAAGGGATAGAGAGAGTAAGCGAGTCGATACATTTTTTTAGCCTCTTAGCATTAATTTAGGGTTTAGCTTACTCATAGAGCAAAAATCTAAAGACCACTGGGATATATTATCAATTTGAATATAGGATATTTTCTCCTTAATCTACGAGAAATCCCAAGACCATCTGAATACCTTCTCCTTTTGAATTTATAAAGGGAATTCAAAATGTAGAAAATAGAGATTTTCCGCTTCCATGACATCAACGCCCACTCTCAACATACATAGTATTAATTTTGAATCTTTAAAAAACTAACATATATTTATATAATTTATCAATATACATTATATGTATTACCTTATGTAATTTTAACATTTAAAATTATTTCATAATTCTTAATCTTCGTTTCACCCATTGTAAGATAGCAAGATGACCTAGTAGACCTACAAATAAGAAGCTCTAATGATGCGAGATTGATCAGTCAAACTCGTTAATCGAGTTAATCAACATTTGTTAACTGCGGGTCACTCCACTAAAATCTTGTTGCTGCATTTTTCTCACAACAGAATATTTTCGTGTCCACGGATGTACCACCATTAACGACAAGTTAATAATGAAGGGATCGAATCCCGTAGTGGAATCGCGCGAACACGTGTGCTTCGATCTTGCTTTAGAATTACAACAAAGAAAAGACACATAAGCATGAATAACAAGAAAGTTAGTGATACATACCTTTGAAGACACCTATTCAATGTAGACACCAACGCCACCACAAAGTCCTCTATGCTATCCTCTGGATATTAAGAACTCGTTTTGTGAGAACCGTCTTATAATTGAAAGGGATATTGAGAAATCGACAGAGAGCTTTTCTCATTTAGAGTTTTGGAAACTCTATCAACCGACGTTCGGGGGGGAGGAAGTCAGCACTTCCCCACTCACTTCCCCACTTTCCACCATTAAGGAGGTTTTCTCCATTTTTTTTTCTTTTTTTTCTTTTATTTTAATTAAAACAAATTTAATTAAAATAATAATTAATTAAATCTAATTTATTTAATTACAAAAAAGAATTATTAATTAAATTAAATTAAATCTAATTTAATTTAACCAAATTAATATATCACATTAATTTAATTAAATCATATTTAATTAAATCATATTTAATTAAATTAATCAATTATATTATAATCAAATTCTAATATGTATCTCTCTCATAATTTCAAATCCAATTCAAAATTAACTTTATATTATAATCTATCAACATACATTATATTAATTGCATCTCATACAATTAACCTTAATTCCGTTTAACTAATTTGAACAATTCAAATTGTTTTCAAGACTAACGGTTCATAGCTATCATTTACGAGCTAGCAAGGGGACCTAATGGACCTACAAATTAGAAGTTCCAACGATACGAGATTAATTGATTAAACTCATTAACCATATTAATCAACATTCGTTAACTGTCGGTCACTCCACTAAAGACCCACAGTTGCACTATTCTCACTGTAGAATATTTTGCGTCCATGGATTTTGACCATTAACGGTAAGTCAATCTTTCACGAGTGTTCGTAACCACAGCTAGGTCAAATTACTATTTTACCCCTATGTTACATCTTATGCCTTAAGTACCATTGATCCTCTGATGAACAACCCGATTATGGTCCAACCAATAACCGAAAGTACCTCTCGGGCCAGTGAGAAGGTGGGGCCCCTTATTCAAGTCTCGGAGTCAGAACTTAAGAGAACACTCATCTACTTACTCTATAATCGGGAAAGAGTGAATTCCATCTTGTGTAGTTATGTTCCCAGCTCCCCACTCGGTCACGTCCCCAAAATGGTAGGCATATTAAGTCGGCGACTCAGACCACTCTCATCCATGCAAATCAAAGGACGAGCCTAACAGGCAGAAGTCCATAACTCACTCAGGATTGAGATCGAGTTACCTGGTTATCCTATTGAAATATTAATCTACTAGTTAACGGTGTTACAGCTAAAGATTAATTATTTCGCGGTCCGGTCTCATACAAACTCATTGTATAGGATACCCCCACTCTCATGTCACCACACAAACGACCTGGATCATGTCATTTGTAACTATTTCAAAGTGGGCCGTATCAATAGTGTTACCAGGATAAGGTACCCAACCTTATCCATATACTATAGACTTTTTAGGTTACTACTGGAACATTATCCACCTGTATATCGAATATATGTTGTATATATATACACTGTATATAAAATATATACCCTATATATTAAATATATAATGTTCCAGTTACATGACATAATCTTGGATGTTAGTTTATTTGATTTTGGTTAATGCAACTCTAAAAGAAACTTCAATAACAACTTTATTGAATAAACATTTGTTTTATATTTACAAACCACGAGTTTAGGGAAAAAAACCCAACAAACTCCCAACCTTAAACGGATGGTTGTCCAAACATGTCCTGCAATGAATCCATGATCTCCCTTGTAGTGACCATGTTCTCATGCTTCTTGGCCAGCACATCAGACATGCTTGCCAAGATGTAGACTTTGACCTCATCATTGACCTTGGTCCATCTGTCATAGACATCCCGATTCACTCGGGCTGCATTAGGCGGGGAAACCTGAAGACACTCCTCAATTAAGATGAACCTAAGATCATGTAACACGAGTATCATGTTAAGGTTAATTTTCCATTGTGTGTAATTTTCATCGTTAAGTTTTTCGGCGGCAACCAAGGAAATAATAGAAGTAGCCATGCTGAAATCGAAACAACTTTATATTAGACTACTGCACTACCCACTAAACCTAATAAATTTTAGCAAGGTAATAATATACCCTAACAATCAAAATTATTGCAACGATGCTTCAATGATTTAGAGCAACAGCTATCGTGGGGCAGTCAGCTACTCATTCACTGAATTTATACATTCTCAACTTAATATTACACCATAATAACTCTTATTCCTATAACATTTAGTCATTGTTTGTTTGGTCCTAAGTTCTTAACTAACTTAACAACTTCCCATAAGTGTGACCTGCAATTTTTAGACCCTAGAGGTCCACCTCAATAAGCCCGCCGTAGGGAAAGACAATATTGGTGCAATACCTTAGAAACCTTGTTCATTTATGAAGTTTCCTCTTATTTTGACTCCATATATAAGACCTTATGTAAGGGTGGTCGCTTCAGGGCGACACACAGGCCGTGTATGAAACCTCAAGATGCAAACCAATTGAGGAGACCGTAGGATGTGTTGTCACACATACTTCTCCCACTTACTATAAATACTTTCTCCATTCACTTTTGTATTGAACCATGCAAACACCATCCGTAGGGAGGCCGCACCTATGACGACACGAGGCTGAGCATGGAACTCACAGTGTGAACTTATACGGAGAATGTGAAGGAAATGATATATATTTATATACCACATATATTTTATATATTTGGTATATTTTATATATACCTAATCCTCCCATTTAGTATTTTAAAACTAGGATTTTTGACTTAGGTAAAATCAGGCTAAATGAAATTATATAAGTTTATAAGTTTGTACAATATAACTTTAATATTGGATTTATTCAACACTGATGTTTTAGTTCATTAAACACTTTAACGAACTTACCACATTATTGGATGCTATAAAATATTGACTAATTCAACTCTCAGGTTGGTTCCCAGGTAGAAGTGTTTCCTTACGGTTAGCTTAATTACATCAACCTTAGACATAACCTCCCTTAGAAAAAGTTTGCTTATAAGAAATATTTTATATTAATCTTTTCTTATAGGCTTTAATTAAATTCCGATTAACCAATTTTATAACTCTCATAAAATAAAGAAATTAACCCATAATCATGCATGCATCTATGACATTCATAAATATAACACTTATATTTGCTAAAGTAATGTCATGCTCAATCCATTTCAATTTACATTTAATTAACATAACACTTATATCCACTATCCATGAAAATTTGAAATCACACTATCATATATTACAAGAATTATACATATATGATGCATGATAATGCTTAACCTATGGTGGCATTTTAAACTATATGTCATACTTTATGCAAAATACATCCATATTTTATATATTTATTTCACATTTGATCAATTTATTATGTTTAAATATTTGAATTTAATTATAATTTTTCATTTTGTGGCGGATTGAAGATATTCGAGAATAATTAAAGAGACTTCTAGAGGATAATACAGACTTCACCAAAATTGGGGAGAGCTCAACAGATAAAATATAGACACAATTATTATGGCGAGATGCTTCAATTTGAGAATTATGAATTTTTAGGATATTTTGTAAATAAAGAGATATAATCAAAGTAGGAAACATAATCCTTAATTGATTAGAATTCTTTTATTTAATTTCTTTCCTTCTAATAAGATATTCCCAATTAGTTATGAATTTCGTATTAGAAATAATTCCTTTTAAAAGAGGATAAAATTAATCTTTATAAATAGAGAAGCCTTATTAGGAGATCCATCATCCAAGTTCCAACGAAAACTCTGTTCTCCTAAATTCGAGTTCTCTCCCTTTACCATGAGTGGCTAGGCTTTAATTCTTCCAACTTAAGGATGATACAAGTCTGATTGTAAGCTTGGGAGGCTCAAGTTAGATAGAGATTTCTTCTTTTTCAAGTATTATTTGTTTCTTGTTCTTATTATTTATCAACAGTTTATATTAATTAAATTGATGTCTTAATTCATATTAATTGTTCTACTGCTATCCATGAGTTTGTGATCTATAATTGTCATGAATGATTGAAATGAGTAGCAAGGAATTGGCTTGTGTGTGTGTATTTATGGCTTTTCCATGTTTACATAGCTTGCATAATAGACTCCATAGAAACAAAGGGAATAAATTAATTAACTTGCATCTATCTCAAATTAATTGATTTTGATTTAGTCATTCTCATTATCCTTACTGATATTCTTTGATCAGTATGGAATGTTATCGTGCCCAATTGATTAATTAATAAGATTTAATTTTGATACTTGGTCTAAATTAATTAAATTAGGAGAATTAAAACTTACTACGGCTATTCAAGCAAGTAGACTAAGTTCTTGAATTAAGAAATCAATTTTATGTAAAGTCTGCGATCAAGATTACAATGGGATGAAAATCACACCTTTGGGTTGGAAATTTGGTAAGATTCACTTTTGCTTTCCTTTTAGTTTAACTTTTTAAATTTCAAAATTTAATTACAAAACCCCCCATTTTTTAACTTTGAGAAATTAATTTCATTGGTTAGGTCTCACTTCTACAAGTTAGATTTAGTAAAATCACTAATTATTTTGGAGGGCCTCGACAACCCTTACCAAAATTGGCGCCGTTGCCGGGGAATCGATCATTAGTTTATTATTGTTTTATTTAACTGTATGAATAGTTCATGTCTTTTATAGATGATTATTCAATGTGTGATTATCTATACTTAATGTAACACAAGTCAGAATCCTTTGAAAAGTTCAATGAGTACAAGACCAAATTTGAAAATCAATTAGGTAAAACCATTAAAACACTTCGCTCCGATCGAGGTAGAGAGTATATGGACTTAAGGTTCCAGTTCTATATGATAGAACATGAAATCACATCTCAACTCTCAGTCCCTGGTACACATCAACAGAACGGTGTATCAGAAAGGAGAAACAGAAAAATGTTAGACATGGGTCGGTCAATGATGAGTTATGCTCAACTGCCTAACTCGTTATAGGGTATGCAGTAGAGACTGCTGTATACACTTTGAACGTAATTCCAGTGAAAAGTGTTTATGAAACACCTTTTGAACTATGGAAGGGTCATAAAGCTAGTTTACGTCACTTCAGCATTCGGGATTGTCCGGCACACGTGCTCGTGACCCACCCAAAAAAAAATGAGCCTTGTTAAAAAGTATGTCTATTCATAGGTTACCATAAAGAGACGAGGGGTGGACTCTTTTTCGACCTTCAAGAAAACAGAGTGTTTGTATCGACAAACGCCACTTTATTGGAAGAGTGCAACTGTTGGACCATAACCGGGTTGTTCATTAGAGGATCAACGATACTTAAGGTCTAAGATGTAACACAGAGGTAAAACGGTAATTTAGTCCATCTGTGGTTACGAACACTCTTGAATGATTGACTTATCGTTCATGGTCAAAATCCATGGACGCAAAATAATCTACACTGAGAAGAGTGCAATTGTGGGTCTTTAGTGGAGTGACCGACAGTTAACGAATGTTGATTAATATGGTTAATGAGTTTAATCAATCAATCTCGTATAATTTGAGCTTCCGATATATAGGTTCATTAGGTTTCCCTTGCTAGCCCGTAAAGGATAGTTAAGAACATTTAGTCTTGAAAAGAATTTGAATTGTTCATATTAGTTAAAGGGAATCAAGGTTAATTGTATGAGATGCAATTGATATAATGTATTTTGATATATTATAATATAAAGTTAATTTTGAATTGGATTTAAATTTATTAGAGAGATGAATATTAGAATTTGGTTCTAATATAGTTGATTAATTTAAGTTTAATTCAATTAAATATGATTTAATTAAATTAATGTGATATATTAATTTGGATTAGATTTAATTAAATTAAATTAATAATTTTGTTTGTAATTAATTAAATTAGATTTAATTATTATTATTTTAATTAAAATAAAAGAAAAAGGGAAAGAAATGGAAGGAAAACCTCCCATGGTGGGAAGTGGGGAAGTGGTGAGTGGGGAAGTTGTGACTTCCTTTGCAAAAAAAAAAAAAAAAAGTTGTGACTTCCCAATCACTTTTATGATGAGATGTTAATCCCGCAGCGAAAACGATGATCTTGTTCTTGAATTTTTCAGAACAAAAACCACAATTCAAAAATGGGGAAAAACAGAGACAATGACAACTCACTTTTTGAAGAAGTGTTCTTCAAGGAGTTATCAACGAATACTAATTCGTTTCAGCATCACCAGTCTTCCCGCTATCATCTGGGAACAAAGATCTTGCTTGTGGGAGCAAAGATTGGAAGCACAAAAAAAAAGGTATTGTGAAAGAGTTTTTCTTTTGAGAAAATGCTTGGGAAAAATTGTCAGTTTCTCCGAGTTTTGCATTGATCTTCAACAAAATCAGGAATGACGTGGGGAGTTGCCCCACGTCAACAATAACCCCCCACTCCACTCCAATTAAGCACGACAATGTTTTATTTTTATTTAATATTAATAATTAATACATATATAATTAATTAATCTTATTAGTCAATTAATTATTAATCTAATTAACAATTAATTAATTATTAATCTAATTAACAATTAATTAATTATTAATCTCATTAACAATTAATTAATTATGTATATATATCAATTAAATAAACAATTAACACTTAATTATTTATTATCATAATAAAACCATATTCTAAAACATTTCTCTCGTATAGCCTATAGTTGTAATGTACATCTTATGCACATTATTTTTAAACTATAGTTTTAATATTAATCCTATTCATTTTGATTTTTATTTTGAATATCATTCAAATAATTTCTCTCATAATTTATAGTTTCAATTTAGAATGAACCATATACTATAATGTATCAATATACATATAATCTCTTGAACAATTTGAACATTTAAAATTCTTCAAAAACCTTTATCCTCATTTTACCCGTTATGAACTAGCAAGGGGACATAATGGACCTACATATCAAAAGCTCGAACTATGAGAGATTAATTGGTCAAACTTATTAATCGAGTTAATCAACATTCGTTAACTACGGGT